ATCTCACCCTCACGGAAATCCGAGGCCGCACCCGAAGTCAAGCAGGTTTACACGATGCCCTTCCCAGACTCCAGAGGGAAGAAGGCGAAGACGCGACCGAAATTCAGAGCCCTCCGTTTTCTCTCACCAAAGGCATTGATTCTCCTCCAGAATGCACCGGACCGCGCTGGCTGTGAACTGGTCAGACTCTCTTTGCCTTCTTCAGATGGTAGCGCCTCTGGGAAGGTCAGCCAGCGAAAGAAGCTGCGCAAATCCATGAAGATAGGATTGGGTCTGGATGTCTGCGATCTCGGCGAGAGTCCCGACAAAGAACGACAGTACATCATCGCGGTGGCAGGTAATGACCAGTCAATCGATGTCTTTACGATCGAGTACAGTCCTAAAAAGAAGGGGGGCTACGGCAAACTCGAACGGTACAGGACACTGACAGATGTCCATCCGTTTTCCATGACGAAGATCTGCTTCGCGCCGTTCCAGCCTCCCGCCCACCCGGTCACATCGGCCGTGCTTCCGCAATACGTCAAACTCGCATCGGTCAGCCTGGGCAACACTGTCGTGGTCCACACATTCCCGCTTTCGCCGTTCCCGGACGGCCGGACCCGAACGCCGCGGTATGTCCTCAAGTCACCGGGACCGTCGGAGACCTGGGAAACGATATACAGCTGCTTCGTCGCGCTCGTCATCATTGCAATCAGCTGCTTCCTGCTCCAGGCCTTTACCGAGATCAGAGGCGGCACGCCTGCCTACCTGGGCGCTGCGGACTGGCTACCAGAGGGGATCAGGCAGAAGGTCGCGAGGCCATATATCTTCGAGCATCGGTTGCCCAGTTCTCGTTTGGTGAATGTGCCCCAGGTGCAAACTACTACCACGACTACTCCAGCTGCTACTACTACTACTCAGAAATCACTCCGCGATCTCCTCCATGCTCGTCGTCGCGCCGAAGACACCATCGCTCCTCATCCAACCATCATCGTCCGCGCGGGCGATGACGACGAGACTTCCATCTCTGTAGAGGAGATAGCAACACACCACGATAATAATAACGATGACGCGGAAGAACTGTCGAAGCGCCAAAACGCACGCCGATGGGAAGACCTCCACGAGGACGAGCGCAGCAAGTGGAAACGCCGTCTCTCGGAGGCAGGTCACTGGTCCGTCGAGGAAGGAGAGCAGATCCTTGAGGGGATCTTGTTCGGCTAGTTGGCTGCCGCAGTGGGTGCTGCTGTTGCGGGCTAGGTTGATAACTAACTTGACAACTTTATCTAGATTATTATCTAGATTATCTTATCGAGTGGTGGATAGCCAGACAGGCGGGGCATGACATGATTTGTTTTTTTTTCTTTGGTTTAGTACAAACAAGAAAGAGGAAGAAGAGGAGGAGAAAAAAACACGTATGTATATCAATTATTCTTGCTCAGCTACCTACCTACCTAGCTAGCTTGTCCCTTGTACCTGTACCATATACTAATACTATACTGATGAGACGGGATATTAATGAGTGAACGCCTAATACGGTTTAAAGGATAAGTTGTTTTTTTTATTTACTTTTTTTTTAAAGAGGATAATAAGACTACCTATTCATTTATTTCCGGCTCTATCTGATAAACTTGCCTGCGTGCATACATTATGTTCGCCATGAGTTTGTGGTAGATCATTAATGTCGTGATTAGAAAAACACAAAAAGATTAGCGGAAACTAGAACAAACCACATGCCAAACGGACGGGCATTCGAGATCGAGATTTTTATACGAAGAGGGGGTATGTCGTTTGCTGTTTTTTTTTCACGGTGAGGCAGGTAACGTCGAGACTGTCGAGACTGATATGACCTGCCTGTTTGACAAAACGAGGGTATTTATGAAGAAGTCGAGATCCGATGCAAACCAGTTGAGACGCCTGAACCCACGCCATATCTGCAGAGAGACAACACACCTGATTTGGGATATCGTGCCGACCAACCTGTTTCGCAATACAAGTCACAGGTTGAAATAACGAGAGAATTTACAACAGGGCAAGGCGCAAGTGTGGTTGCGGACATAGATAGGGACCTGAAACCGCAGAAAGACGCGTCTCCCTCGATCGAGAAAAGACGCGCAGGACTTGAACTTGGCAATTTTCAGCACGTCAACTGCCAACTATTCACTGCCCACCATTCTTCTTCCAGCGGAGCAACTCCGCCAGACTGGCGCGGCTGCATCCCATCTTCAAAAATTCATGGGACAGAAGCTCTTCCGCAGTGGCACGACTGCGGACATCCACGCAGAGACAAACACTCAAGAAGGACTTGAGCTCCTTGCTAAGCTTCTCTGGTTTCTTAAGGCGCGGAGTGCCGTTCGTCGCAATGAGGTACAGCGCCTTGAGAGGCTCCTCGTTGAGATAGGGCGGTTCCGACTCAATCATCTCGATAGCCATGATGCCAAGAGACCAGCAATCGACCTTCGGGCCATACTCCTTCTGCTTGACGACTTCTGGCGCCATCCAGTAGGGAGTACCAACCATGGTGGCACGCTTGCTCCTCGATTCAGTCAACTTAGCGCAGAAGCCAAAATCGGCTATGACATAGTCAGCACGATCGATTACTTCCTCTCTGTCAATCGAAATGACTCACTAATTTTGACATTGCCAACACGGTCGAGCAAGACGTTGTCGCTCTTAATGTCACGGTGAATAATGTTCTGACTGTGCAGATGAGCTAACCCTTTGCAGGTCTAATAAAAAGACGATTAGCAAGACCTCATTCCCATCCGGAGAAAGAAAAAAAAACCAACCTCGAGGCAGATAGTAGCAATCTGATCCTCCTGGATGACGGGGTTGTTGTCAATCACATCAGTCAAAGCACCACCCTCCATGAACTCCATCACCACCCACAGCTCCTGACTCTGTTCTTGTAAGAAAGAGTCGAGGAAGTTGACAATGTTGGCATGCTGGCTATCCTTCATGACGATGATCTCGTTGACTATCAACTCCTTGCGGGGCTGACTACGGAGGTCCATCTGCTTGATTGCGACCTGTCCCCGGGGCCCATACTGGCGATAAAGCTCCCGTGCCACGGGCGACGTTGCGTTCTCTTTGATACGAGCCACATAAACGGAACCGGAGGCACCCTGTCCAATCTTACGCTGCTTGCTATACGAATCATTAGGGTTTTCTTTGGAGACAACCGACCTCAGCTTCTCCATCACCTCATTTTCGGTCATATTCGACATCCGCACCTCCTTCTGCCGCGGTTCAGCCTTCTTTGTCAACGCCGCCTCTGCCTGACGGACAGCCTCAGGGACGGCCTGTTTGTTCGCCGTCTGCTTGTTGGCAATATTCAACGGCTTGACTGGCTGAACCGGAGCCGGGAGGCGGGCGGGCGGAGGACCCTGCGCCTGTTGCGCCGGCTTTGTGCCATTGTTGTTCTGGGCACGAGTGGCCGATGTCTGAGACCGAGGATCATTCGCCGGCGAACCTGGGCTTTGATCATTCCGAGAACCAGGAGTCCGCGACTGCCCGTTGCCAGTAGCAGACTCGCCCGTTTTCTGGGCAGTGGGAGGGGATGGTGCCGGGCGCTGCGCAGTGATCTGCTTCGCGCCCGGAGGTTGCTGGCGGTTCGGCGCCTGGGGAGCAGGCCGACTGGGATTGAATCGGTTGTTCATGGACGAATCGTCAGATGCACCGTAACCTCCCAGTTCCTGTTTCGCGATGGGGACACGGGTCTTGGGAAGGGATGCATTGTACTCTTCTTGCTCCCGACGCTCCTGTTCTTCACGAATCCGACGGGCCTCCTCCTCCATCCGACGGCGTTGCTCCTGCTCGGCAATCTCCCGCGTGCGGTCCGCATCCGACGTCTTGCGCTGAGGTTGAGAGGCCGCCGGGCCGGGGTCCAATCGTTGGTGAGGACTTGGAGGCGGCGGCCTGGGAGGAGCGACCGAGTTGCCAGATCCAAGCTGTGAAGAGGAGGAGTTTGGTCCAGTCGGGGCCGGGCCCATATTCGCATAATATTGAGGATTCTGCTCGCGCATCTTGATATCCGAGTAGAACTCCAGCACTTCAATGACGGCCTGGGGGTTCTTCTTGTAATCCTCCTTGGTAATCGCCGACGCGGTCAAGAGCTTCTCCCATTCGGCCGGGAGACCGACGAAGGCTCCGGTCCGGGGATCGAAGCCGACGTGGACTCGATGGCTAAAGTTGGTCGGATTGCTGACCCCGCCCATTCCTGGACAGCGCTCATAGATCTTGTCGATCCAGTCATAGATCTCGTCATCGGTCTTGACCTCACAGGTGATGGTTTTGGTGGGCACGTCCCGATTGATGATCGCCGCTTTCGAATTGGCGTCCTTCGGATTGGCAAGGCGAGTGATTTCGAATGCCATCTTAGTATCCTCGGAGCGAGTGACGCCCGTCACAGTGGACAGTGGAATGGACAGGACCACCTTGCCCGTCTCATTCTTCAGAAAGTCGAGACGATGCTCCCGCAAAACCAGATAGCGCTGATTCCAGCCGGCCAAGAATTTGTCTTCCTTGCACCGCACATATCCCTCCTTGATGACGGCGACACCGCCTTGACCGTTCTGGCTGCTCTTCGTCGACACGTTGCTGGAGCTGGTATTGGGAAAGATCGACAGAGTGGGCGTGCTTGGCGAGTTCAGGCTCATCTGGCTAAACGACGTGGCGACGCTTGAGCTGGTCGGTGTCGTCGCGAGACGCGGACGGTCAACAGGTGGGCGAGGAGCAGGTCCCGGGTTCATGAATTGCTCAGGCGAATACACACTGCCATGGAGTTAACGATGAACTCTGCAGCTGCGAGGGAACGGACACTGGATCCATGGCAAAAAAAAGGAGGCAGGCGGGCGAGGAAAACTCGAAGGGAGAAAAGAGACCCGACTGCTCCTGGAACAGACACCAACCGGGGAGCAGATCAACTTACTTTCCATGAGAGGAAGCCATCGTGGGGCAGCCAGAGATTCTCGATTAGATATTATGCAGATTCAAATAATTTTTCCGATAACAAGCAAGGGTGGACTGGGGGTTGGAGAAGACTGGGAGGGCGAAGAGAGGCGAGAAGCACTGTATATACAATGGGTCAGAAAATCACATTGTTCCTTTGGACCAGCCGTGAGAGTAGTGAATGCAAATCATTATTGTTTTGACGCACGACACAATAGTAATCCATGCAAGATGGTGAATCTGGAATGCTGGTGGAAGACAGGGGAGGAGGGGTGCTGGGCTAACCTCGCCTAGGGAGGGTTGACAGGACAGCGCCTGTTCTGTACACCCCGAGCAATCTCCGACGTGGGGAGAAAGCTGGAGAAAGGGAGACGCCTGGTTGGATCGGGAGCTTCTGGCAGCGGACAGCAGGGACGATAGAGCTTGAGCGTCACCAGCAGGGACGACAGCGAGATGCTGCTTGCTGGATCGGGGGGACAGAGCGCTGGGGGATGGAAAGGAGACGGCGGGCGAGAGGAGGTGAGGTTTCACCCGCACGGAGCCACTGGCAGGACGGACAGAGACAGCGGCTGAAGGCGTGCCAATGGCAACCACAGTGCAGCAGCAAACGCCTGGCGATCAGAATCGTGCTTGATCGCTCCCCTGAGGGTTTTGTTTTGCTAGAAAAACAACAACAACAACGGCACCCTGGAGAGGTTCTGGGGGAGAGTGGCCGTTGACGGGGGCACACCGAATCGACTGGGCAGTGGAGCCAGGGCGCTGTCGAGATCTCCTACCTAAGCAATTCGAGTCGGTCGAGCAGAGACATTGGCAACCGGCCTGACTGGCAGTGGAGGTCCTTTAGCGAGTGCTGGCGGCCACTGACTACAGCGAGCTAGGCAGCTGGGACCTGAGCGCGGGCCTTCAGAGAATAGCAGCAATCGGACGAGGAGGTGGCTGATGGATGGATGCTGGGATAATTACAATCATCTGAACTCCTTGACAACGGCTAATCAGCGAATTACTCCATGATTGGTGCCGGCTGCCATCTTGCTCTCTGGCAGCGACTGGGGACGGAGGGGCGATCTCTCCCGAGGAGCGGCAAATTGCCGCAGCGCAGGTGGGCTGCTGCATCCGGCCAGACAGGGCTGCCAAACCCAGATTTCTACGCAGCAAGAGCATGAGACTGACTCCTGTCTGCAGTAGTGTCGACAAGAGATGCGATCTGCCAAGCTGCAAGCAATGTGCGTGAACTGCCGCCGAAGATAAACAGAACCCACGGCCCTTCCGTTGCGCGAGCCCCTTGCGGCGCCCACGAGTCTCCGGCAGAATCCTGCGCGATCCGGCATTATCGATTGGTGCAGCCATGCAAAAGCACCCCTCCGTTCCCTGGAACTGGGGACCAGGTGCCAGCAGCGAATCGATACGTGGATTTCCTGTGGAGTTGCGGCCCATCGTTGAAGCTTTCGGTTCCGCTGGGGCTCCCTGTGCCTAGACGACAGCTGAGATGCAACAGTTAGCCGGCATGCAACGGGGCTCTCCAGATCCTGCGAGGATCAACGGGCATGCGAAACATACCAGCATGGTCCGTCGTTAGTGATGATTCATCACAGCCGCCACGAGGGTGTAGTTCTGCCCCCGGCGTCACACGTCTGTAGAGCGTCCCGCGAATCCTTTCTCGTGCCCCGCTGACACTTCCGGATCCCACGTTGAGTTGACGCAGGATGGTCGTGCGCCTGGTTCAGTCAAGCCCCTGTGGCCAGAATTGAATCTGCAGCAGTTGGGATCGACTCCCGGAAGCTTCGTGCATTTTAGCTAAGGGTTCCGTGTAACAGTCTGCATCTACTGGACCGCATCTTGCAGAGAGCAAGTGTCACGATCACGAGAACCCAATGCGATTTCTACCTGACTACTGACAGAGAAGAGAACATCGTGCACCTGGGGAGGAAATAATGACAATGGCCAACACATCCGGGAAATTTCCCTATGCAATTCATTTGGGGTATTCCAACATCGATGCGATATATACATACACACAGACATAGACCACAAATCCTCTACGCCTCCGCGCCAAAAGGGTAATTGAACTTGAGCAGCGAGTTCAGGCCGCCAACCCATCCGTCATCTGGCTCCGTCACCCCGATCGTCCTCCGCATCACGCAGGGGACCCCACCTCGCCAATCGTTCTTCCCATGCCGGATCTCTTCGTCCCAGACGCGCATTTCCATCCCCACCGACATGCCCTGGCCCATGCTCTTGCCATCAATGCTCACTTCCACCTCTCGCCCCCGATTCTTCTGGCTCAGCCGCAGGGTGACGGGCGTGCTGGATGGCAGAACCAAGGGCCGAAAGCTCAGGCTTCGGGGACAGACTGGCGTTAACAGCAGCGATGGCACCAGAGGATGGACAATACTGCCTCCACTGCTCAGACTGTAGGCGGTGCTCCCCGTCGGGGTCGAGACGATCATGCCATCAGCCACCGCCTCGGTGAGAAATCTGCCTCCGACAAAGACCTCGACGATGGCCAGGTGTGGCTCCTTCCCCCGGTGGATCAGCACCTCGTTGAGGGCGTAGACTCGTCCATCTCGGGTGCTCTCATGGGTTTGCCCGGGGGGGTTGATCGGTTTGCCGTCCGGGGTGTAAAGTCCAACCCGTAAGCGGTTGCGCATCAAGATACGGGCACCCCGAGTCGAACCCATCGACTTTCCTCGTACAGATGACCACCCCGTCGGACCCATCTGTGATTCGGCCTCTTCGTCGGCGGCCGTCGGAATCGGTTCGCCCAACACAGAAGCGCGGTCACCCACGCCGGCACCAGACATATATACCTCTCTGAAGGCACGCTTATATTCTTCAAACTTCCACTCGCCCAAAAACCCCAGTGTCCCCATGCTGAACGATAGCACCGGAGGCACATTGTGACATGTTGCAAAGAGTGAAGAGGCGCGTAGTATGGTGCCGTCTCCACCGAGGGTCACAACCAGGTCCACCTTATCATGTGTCGTCGTAGACAGCCGAGAACTAGATGTAGTCGTATAGATAGGGAACGAAAACGAGGTGTGAATTTCCTCCGCAGTTTGCGGTTCTAAGATAATGGAAAGCGACGGATATGTAGATGTGATGTGACTACGGATGACCGTTAGCAGCCAGTTGCATATTGGAGGGATATCCATCCTCCCTTACTTTACAAATTCAATCAGGGAGCCAGTCACGGCCGGGGCGCTTTGTTTCTTAACGATCAAAATATTTCGCGGAGGTGATGGCCATTGCAGGGAGAGGAGATCGCTCCCACGGGATTCTAGTCGAGAACGGACGGTGTTAGCCACTGCAATCTGGATTACAAGATTTCATGAGACTGCATGTGGACGCACACCTTGATATTTCGGAACGATACGCGGAGGAAGATTCTCTATGTCTCTTATTTCACGGCGACATGAGGACACAGAGAATGCCCGGTAGCCCCAGATCCGCCATGGCGCAGACTCACGGATTCGAGCAATAGTGGCCCGCATCGTGAGAAATCACGCTGTGGACACCGTAAAACTTTCCTCAGGGGGAGATCAGATGCGCAGCTGGTGTGGACAAGCCGCGACAGGATCGAAGACGAGCTTGTCCAGTGTTCCAAGCGGCCATTGCTCAGAGAAGGAGAAGCGCAGACGTGCTTTGCGGGGGATTCCCGGCGACTAGATGGCGATGAGTCCAGGGCGATAAGATACGCCCATTATCTCGTGGAGACGAATGAGTCTGCGAGAAGAAGAGGATCGAACATTCGGAGATGCAGGTGAGCTCCCCGGCCTCGAGGGGCCCGCTGCAGACCGCCTTACGGAGACGGCGGAGACGTCATCCGGATCCAGCGCGCCCAGTGCGGATCGACCACGAGATCACCGCTCTTCTCGAGCTACACTCTCCCATTCTTCTGGATAGAAGAAGTGTCTACCATATTGGCGGGATTTCGCTTATAACTGACGATAAATAGGACTTCACATGGCTACTCAGGCTCACTAAGGCCGCCAGGCATCCTGCAAGTACAGTAACTTGACGACACCGCCTACCGCATCGCTCGATGTATGCGTTTCCTTTCACACCGCTGACTCCAGCCGCAGAAACAGATATTAGGGGAAACAACAGACGTTATAACAATGTCTGATGTTCGTGCACGGAGACCAGAGTCGGCCTCTGGCCTGACGAACGGTGTTGGCAAACTCCCTCGAAAGGATAAAGGTGCAGAACAGCGCCTGAAGCATGGGATTCCTATGCAGGTGCTTCGTTCTCTGCTCCTGGCCATCTGGTTCTTTGGTTGCTGTGTGATCATCTTCACCACTCAGTTGATTGGATCTCCGCTGTACTTCATCAGCAAAGACTATTACTACGCCTATATGGCCTTGACGAAGCAGGCTTTTGGAGTCCTCATCACTACCGTCACCCAATGGGGCGCTCCAACTCTGGTCCGAGTCAGCGGAGACGAGTCTGTGCGGGGCCAACTTCAGCTGACCGATGATGGGCGGTTGAAAACCGAGTTTCCAGATCGCCTGGTGTTCATCGCGAACCATCAGGTATATACCGACTGGCTGTATCTCTGGTGGGTCAGCTATACGGCTCGGATGCATGGTCATATATACATCGTCCTAAAGGAGACCTTGAAGTACATCCCAATCATTGGTCAGGGGATGATGTTCTACGGCTTCATCTTCATGGCCCGCAAGTGGCAGTTGGACAAGCCTCGATTACAGCATCGTCTGGAGAAGCTCAAGACTCAGCATTCGGGTCCGATGTCGGGATCGCAGTCCCTGGATCCGATGTGGCTCTTGATCTTCCCTGAAGGGACAAACCTGTCCACAAACACCAAGAAAGTCAGCGACAATTATGGTGAAAAGGCAGGCATCCAGCCCCTCAGACACATGCTCATTCCTAGGACCACGGGCCTGTTTTTCTGTCTGCAGCAGCTCAAGGGCACTGTCGATTGGGTGTACGATTGCACGGTTGCCTATGAAGGGCCTCCGTAAGTCCACCCACGATTCCTACCCTGTATACAATCCACCAAAGTGACTAACCATTGAACAGGAAGGGTTGCTATCCCGATCAGTACTTTACGCTGCGCTCAACCTATGGACAAGGTCGACCTCCCAAGTCGGTGAACATGTACTGGAGACGGTTTGCCGTGTCCGATATCCCATTGGATGACCAGAAGGACTTCGAAGCGTGGCTCTTGGCACGCTGGAGAGAGAAGGATGAGCTCCTCGAGGAGTTCTTTGAGACCGGACGGTTCCCTTCGGATTTGGGTTCTTCGATTTCCCCCAAGGGCACGCTCGACCAGCAGTCGGAAGCCGCTGACGGATACGTCGAGACGGACATCAGGCTGGCGCACTGGTCTGAAATTGGGCAAATTTTTGCAGTCCTGGCAGGGGTTGCACTGGTCCTGAGGTTTTTCTGGAGTTCCTGAAGTTGGGTCAAGGCACTGGAAGCGTTTTCGTCTGTTCTGTTTCTTCACTGCATGATGGCTGAATGACAAGGTATTTTCTATTATACTAGGCACGAGGCGATGTGAATGAGTTAATGTCGAAGCTAGAGTGACAATAATAATATCTATCTATCAATCTATCAATCAACAATAGTAGGCAGTGTGGCGTCTGTGGCGGTGCGGCTCCAGGCTAGCTGCTAGTAGCGCTGCGGGTGGGCCCAGCCGCCCATTCCCTCCGCTGGCAGTCACCGCGCCAGCTTCCTGTTCTTTTTGTCTTCGCCTTTCTTTCTTCACACTTATCTCACCACCTTTTTGATGTGCCAGAGACTGCTCTGGTCTCTGGAACTTGTGCCTCCTCCTCCATTTCCCACTACTTTCTCTCGATGACCATGACCTGCTAATTCCTCTGCATCGACACTGAACCCTTTGCGACGCCGCGACTCCTTCCGCGTGGATCCCCATACATCGCATACGTCGGCATCATGGCGCCTCTCCAGAACGGTTACTCGAACGGGATCAACGATGAGACCCTGAATTCTCACACTTCTCTGGCCAATCTGCGCTTCTCGGATATTCCGTCTGCCATTGATATCCCCGCCTCGACTTTTGACAGTGAGGTCGAGGTCAGTCTCGAAGACCTACCAGATGACCCGACCGAACTCTGCACGCTTCTGGAAAATGAGAAGGCGGCCAAAAACTTTTGGGTTATCATCGCGCTAGCGTATGCCAAGCAGAAACAGCTCGACCATGCTATCGAGATCCTCCAGAAGGGTCTGGCCTCCGTGGCCCATGGTGCGACAAAAGAAAAGTTGGTGTTGCTGAGTTGGGTCGCCTGGCTGTTGATGCTCAAGAGTCGTCAGGCGCCCAGAGTGGCTCCTGAGGGTTCCGATGTGAAGACCAAAGACTACTACCTGCAGCTCACGACTTCGACCTTGAATGAAGCATCCCGACTCAATCCGGCTTTTCCTCCGTTGTTTCTCGCTCGTGGCGTCCTCTCTCTCCTTCGGGCCTCTCTGTACCCTCCAAAACCAGTGCGACCGGGATCTGTCGATAATTCGGAAAGGGTCGAGGCGTTGCGACAAGCCTTGAAATGCTTCGAAGAGTCGTCCAAAGCTTTCGGTGGAAGGAATGTGATGGCCATTCTGGGCCATGCCAGAGCACAGTACTGTCTTGGCAGATACGCCGAGGCGCTTGAGGGCTATCAGAAGGCTCTGACAAAAATGCCGGGGCTGACAGACCCTGATCCACGGATAGGCATCGGCTGTTGTCTGTGGCAGCTTGGGTTCAAAGATCAGGCGAAAGTGGCCTGGGAAAGGGCGCTAGCTTTGGTAAGCCTTATCAGCTCGTGTGAATTTCGCGGCCTATATGAACTGACTTGGAATACTTTTATGCCCAGAATCCGAACTCGAAGGTCGCGAACATCCTGCTTGCGGTGTACTATCTCTACGATAGCTCCCGCCACCCTACTACCGATCCCGCTTTTGGGTCTTTGTACAAGGTGGCCATGACCCAGTATACACAAAAGGCTTTCAAGCTGGATAAGGAGTATCCGATGACCTGTGCCTTGTTCGCCGGATATTTCCTTCTCCGCAAGTCCTACAGTACTGTGGAGACTTTGGCGCGTAAGGCTATCGAGCAAACTGATGTGATGCCTATTGCCAGCGACGGTTGGTACTTGCTGGCACGCAAAGAGCATTACGAAGGCCAGACGGCGAAGGCCTCAGAGTATTACAATCGGTCTGATCAGGCCCGGGGTGGTGGCGACAAAGGCTATCTGCCCGCCAAGTTTGGTGTCGTGCAGATGCAAGTCAAAAACAAGGATTTCGATGGTGCTAAGTTCAGGCTAGAAAAGATCATCGAGCAGACAAAGAGCCCGGAGTGCATGATCTTGTTGGGGGCACTCCTTGCCGAGGAGGTTTTCGCCGCTCAGGCTAGCGGGAGCAAAGAAGATAAATCCGCGGATGCCAAAAAGGCCATCAGCCTCTTCGAGTCTGTTCGTGCTCTCTGGAAGGATGAGAAGAAGAGGATCTCACCGGATGAATCTGTCCTCGTATACCTTTCGCGGTTGTACGAGACGGTGGCTCCCGACAAAAGTATGCAATGTCTCACCCAGCTGGAGGAAATGCAAATGGCGCAGATCCCTGAAGAAGACCGGCCTGAGGATATCAACGACCCGGAAGCGATGAAAGCAGCCCTGCGCGAGTACTTGCCTCCGCAGCTCCTCAACAACATCGGCTGTTTCCTCTATCAGTCGGATAAGGCTGAACAGGCTCGAGAACTCTTCCAGACTGCCTTGAATGCTTGTACGAGGCAGGAGAAAGAAGAGGACAACAGTACAGATACGGATGCTCTGATCACAACGATCAGCTACAACCTTGCCCGCACCCACGAGGCTCTCGACAAGCCAGAGGAAGCGAAAAAGGTCTACGAAGAGCTTCTCGCACGGCATAGCGATTACACCGAGGCTAGCGCGAGGTTGACGTACATTGCACTCCGTCAGAGCCCTACGGACGAAGGACCTAAGAAGATGGCGAAGCTCTATGAGACCGAGTCGACGAATCTCGAAGTCCGAGCTCTCTTTGGGTGGTACCTCAGCAAATCGAAGAAGCGGGCTGCGAACCTTGCGGAGGACCACGAGCAGCGGCATCACAAGCATACTTTGCAACACTTTGATAAGCATGATCGATACGCGTTGACCGGAATGGGCAATGTCCATCTTCTCACTGCTCGGGACATGCGGCGTGATACCGATCAAGACAAAGAGAAGAGACGGAAAATGTACGAACGCGCTGTGGAGTTCTTCGACAAAGCGCTGCAACTCGATCCGAAGAATGCCTATGCCGCTCAGGGCATTGCCATCGCCCTTGTCGATGATAGGAAGGACTACTCCACTGCGGTTCACATCTTCTCGAAAGTCCGTGACACCATCAAGGACGCCAGTGTCTATCTAAATCTTGGTCACGTCTATGCAGAACTGAGACAGTTCACGCGGTCAATCGAGCACTATGAAACGGCGCTGTCGAAAGATCGGGCCCGGGACGCACAGATTTTAGCTTGTCTGGGGCGAGTCTGGTGGCTGAAGGGTAAACAGGAGAGGAGTCTCGCTGCCATGAAAACCGCCCTCGACTATGCCAACCGTGCTCTCGCCGTCGCACCGGAGCAAGTCCACTTGGAGTTCAACGTCGCCTTTGTCCAGAATCAGATTGCGCTGCTGGTCAGCAGTCTCCCAGAGACTCAGAGAACGTCCCAGGACGTGCAGCAGGCGGCGGAAGGGCTGGAGAAAGCCATTGAAACATTCGAGCGTCTTGCTCAGGTGAAAAACCCTCCGTACCCGCGAGGCTCCTTGGAGCAACGAGCAAACATGTGTCGAAACACGATCACCAAACAGCTCGAGCGTGCTCTGCAGAGCCAGAAGGAGTACGAGGAGAAGAACGCTCTCAAGCTTCAACAAGCTCGTGCCGCCCGTGAAGCCGAGATCAAGCGACGCGAAGAAGAAGTCCGGAAGGCGCAGGAAATCGAACAGGAGAGGAAGAGAAAGATTGCGGAAGAAAGACAGCGGATGGTTGAGGAAACCCAGCGGATTGCGCAGCAACGTGCCGAAGAAGAGAGAGCGAGAGAAGCTGCGGAATTCACGACGGATGAGGAGACGGGAGAACGGCACAAGAGAAAGAAGAAACAGTCGAAGCGGAAGAAGAAGGAAGCAGAGGAGGATATTGTTGTGCCTGATGACAGGAGCGTGGGGGGAGACAATGAGGAAGAACGAGCGCCAAAGAGACGGAGGCGGTTGGAGCGTCGGTCTGCGGCGAAAGAGAGGAACAACAAATACAAGAGCAGCGAGCTTGTGGTCGAGTCAGACAGCGATGAGGGAATCGCACCCGCTCCTGAAACAGAAGCAGAAGCAGAGGCCGAAGCCGAAGCAGAAGCAGGAGACACCGCCATCAAAGACGCCGACTCTGCAGCTGACGACCTTTTCAACGACGACGAAGATGAGGACGAGCTGGCCGCCACATCTGCCGCGAAAGAAAGAAGCCGAGCCAGGGCCGCCAAGCGCGTTGTTGAATCGGACAGCGAGGAGGAGGAAGAAGGACCTAGTCCTGCAGCGGCATCCGACAAGAAAGAGGATCAGGATGAAGACGAAGAGATGCGTGATGTTGACGCTGACGCTGGCGCTGACGCTGGAGGCGACCATGAAGACGAAGAAGAGTGAAGTTACTTTTATTTTACTTTCATTAAGAACCGGACGGAAGAGGGGGGAAATGTACGAAAGAGAGAGATTTTTGGCCTGGCCTTTCTTTCTTTCATCTTCATCTTCGAGAATCTGTCTGACTGCCTGAGTACTTACGTACTTTGCATAAACCAACCAATTATGTAGTTGTCCTTTTTTCCCCTTTCTTTTGCAGGAGCATATGATATGATTATTGATGGGTTGGGTTTTGCACTGGAGCGAAGCGGACGGGACAGGTGTTTCTTTCTAGAACTCTTTATGTGTACAATACGTTATTGATTTAAATGACTGCCTCATTAGCAAATATTAGCGATTGATTCGATGCAAATAGAGTCAATCAATGGGCTGCATTTCTTTACTTTTTTCTTCTTTCTTTCTTTTTCCCCCCTTTCCGTTTCCAACAAAGCTCCTCTAGAGCTCTATAGATGAGGTCGTGTTTCCTATTTACATGATCTATCGTGGGTTTTTCATCATTTTCATGACCCTTCATCACAATTTTCATCATTCGATAAAACTCAGTCCCGAAAATAGTCGTGAATCTGCTCAAGAAATACACCAACCCGAAACAAAACAACCGGTCCAGTAATAGTATAAGGATCCAGGCTGAATGAAACCAGATTCGAATCTGGAGATGGACGAATGATACGGGCTGCAGTTACGCCCGTTCAACTGTCGTGCCCTCCTGCGCTGGTTCGAGCAACTTCCACTTGCAGGAGATGTTGTTGCGGTTAAATTGCGAGATGATGCGGTTCGCGATCTCCTCGAAATGATCCGTGGCGAGAGCCAGGATGGTAGGCCCGGCACCTGAGAGGCAGATCCCGAGCAAACCGGGCTGAGTGCTCGGGTTCATCGATTGCAGAATCTCGGTCAGACCGGGGATGAGGGTCTGCCGGTACGGTTGATGGACCTTGTCCTGCATGGCCAAGTAGATCATGTCAGGGTCGGGCGGAGAGGTGCTCAGAGCCGCCGGGAGTAGCGCAGCGCGCTGCAAGTTGAACACCTGAGATTGAAGTCAATGTCTGCTAAGAGACAGATAACGCGGAGTAGAAGAAAAGGAACCTACCACATCCGCTTTCGAGTACTGCTTGGGGAGGACGTCTCGCGCATTGGCAGTGGGCACCACAAAGTCGGGGATAATGGCAATGGCCTTGATCTCCTTGGCCCATCCGAATTTCCGGTAATGGCCAATGCCCACCGGAGGCTCAGGGGGCCTTTCCCCTGTGTCGACACCACCGGCTGGAGCGGGCAGGACTTCACTGAGAGGGATCTCGATACGAGCCACGTCTTCTGGCTTGAGCTCGTTCAGGTACGTTCCCACAAAGCCACCGAATAACGACGCCGCCACGTTGTCGGGGTGTCGTTCTAGGAGCAGCAGTCTCAGCATAGAACCGAAAATGAATGACATTTCTGCAACATACCGATCATCAAGCAGTAATCCAGTAGACGGTCCTTCGTCAAGCCCAGGCGTCCGACTTCGTTCCCCAGAGTGACACCGGCGACGACGGCGGTGCCGGAGGACCCCAGGCCGCGTCCCAGCGGAATGGGGTTTTTGATATGGACATGGGTCTCGACGGGAAAGGCGCGCTGGTTGTGGCAGCGGAGGACATAGAGGGCAACGCGCGTGATCAGGTTGACCTCCGGGTCGAGGCTGATCTCCTCGGTGCTCCCGCTGTGGTCCTCGTACGAGATCACGCAGTTGAGCGGGTGTTGCGACGAGGTCTTGGACGAGTCGACGGTGACGTGGACCTCCAGATAGAGCGACAGGGCCAGGCCGATGACATCGAAGCCCGGGCCGATGTTGGCGGACGAGCAGGGCGTCCGGATCGTGAAGGAGGAAGAAGCCATTGCTCTGTGCCACGACAGGCAAGCGCTCTTTTTTTGTCCTTTTTTCCCCCTCCCTTTTTCGCAATTCTCTTTTGCCCTGCCTGACGCTCTGAGCAGCGCTGTTTGCCCAGCCGGTCTGACTGTGCTGGTGCAAAATTCTTTGGCGGCGGCCGTCGGGATCCCCGATTGGAGAGAGCCAGCTCCGGATTAGGCAATGGCGGGCCAGCTCACGAGCAAGAGAACAAAAGCGACAGCATTCCGATCAGATCGAGACTTCGAGATCAGATCCAGCGCGATCCCGTTCCGGACACGGCCAATGGAGGGAGCAGCCGTCCTGCTAGACTTCAATAGACCGCTGCAGGAATGCAGAAGGCAGAATCGTGGTTGCAATGCTTGCTGCCCAACCCTGCTGTTCCACTCGTGCACGTTCTACGCCGTCTCGCCCCCATCCGGGAGGACAGGGGATTAGCGGCGGCATGTCAGCTTACATCAATATTTCAATTTATCTACTGACTCCCTAGACGAGAGAAGCGGGTTAACGCGTGGACAAGGGAAGAATGGTGGCAACGGAGACGAAGAAGCTCGCGGTGTTGTCAACTGTGGTCCGTAAGAGGCAGCCAGAAACCAGCGGTGTTGCGAGCCAAGAAATCTAGCCATGAATGAATTCCCTCTCAGTCACGACTGCCAGAAAGTGAAGAAGGTAGCGACGTGGTGGAGAGATTCAAATGGGCGTTGACAGATGCTCGTACAATTGCAGGTCACCCCATTATCGAAATCACCGGGTGCTCGTGGCTCGTGTCTTGGATCGCCAGCTGTGAGCATCAAATATCAATCCAGGTCTATTATTATTATTATTATTATTATTATTATTATTATTATTACTAGGTCATAGGTGGCATCTCGCGCGCTCTTGGCCTGGTCGAGTGTTGCAGCTGGGCGGGTCTGGACAGGCCGCGTTAGCCTGCCCAGCAACCCCTCCGCCCGCGCTTTTTTTTTCACTGTCTTGTCGGAGCTTTTTTCCACCCTCTTTTTTCTCCCTCGCATCTTCCACACCACACCTTGATGGTGTTTTTCTGTTAATCGTATCACTCTTATTCCTCTGTGTTTGTGATCCTGGTCTCGTGTGGACTGTGTCTGATCGATCAGCAAGACGCGTTCCAATTCTTCGGCCTGCCCGGGGGGTGTAATTCTTCGCCACCCCCGTCGACATCAGAACCGCTGCTTTGCTTCCGCTACACCGTGCACAGAAATAATTCAGCCATAATCGGTCCATTTCTACGACTCGATCCCTTCTTGTCGACATCTTTTCATTCGCCAATTGGGAGAATTCCTCGTCTCTCTGCGCTCTGCACATTGGTAGGCATCCGGAACCGCCTTTCCGCTCGTCTACCAAAAACCCCGACGACTCTGGAGCGTCTTCGCTCTTCGTCCGCACACGCAGTCAAGTTGGCGGGACTTCGCGGCTCTCAGTTCTCCTTTGCCCACCCTCTCCTGGGCCCAAAGTTCCGGGTCTTCTGCGGGGGCGACACTCGGCCTCCATAACATTGCTTCTGCCATTGCCATCCATTTTGGGCCCCCGAATCCGTGCATCTAGCCGTCCTGCCAGGCCCTCCCCTGGGGTCTGGCTGAGAATCGTGGAGGCCCTCCCAAGTCGTCTATCCACTTCTATTTTGGGGTAACTCAACCTACCTCGCGCGTGTTCGCGCTTCCTCCGCGACAGCGCTGCTCTGTATGCGCCCAGCAGGCCAATTCCTTCGTCATGTCCGAGACCCCCAGGTCTGAGAAGTCCTTGACGAGATTCAGCACCCCAGTCCCTGAGCTTGACGATCATCGTTTCCAGATGGATTCCGAGCCTCAGGTGGACGCTACCCCAGGGGGGCTGCCGGACCACCAGCAGCAGCAGCAGAACGTGGCCCGCCTCGGCCGTGCGTCGGAAACCGTTGAGCGTCCTGACCTGCTGCAAGTCCGAGACGCCCTCCGGGAGAGTGGCACCATGTCCCGGGACTTTGAACAGGCTATCGTGGACGATGACCGGTCCGGCCGCGATATCGACTGTTTCGCGAGACGCCTGTCCATGGACCCGTCCTGCCGTCACCGCAGAAGAAGCCGAAACCAGCAGGACATGGCGCCTCGTTCGCGGGAGTCGTCTGTTTCGAACAGATCTCCGTCTCCGCCCAATTCAGTCGATGCTTTTGCCGATCCGCGTCGCCGTGAGCGTGCCAACACCATGGACAGCCACGCCGCTCCTGATATGGAGACTATCCTTCAGCGTACCGTGTCGGGTGGCAGCCGTGCGCAGCGTCCGACGTTCAGCAATGCCAGCGCCACCCGACCGGAACAGGGGGACGTCAGGTTGGAAGTCCCAGAGAGCGCCTGTGGTTGCTCCTATGCAGAGCCAAGCAGAATCCCCGTCATTGACTACGAGGAATTGGAAGAGTTTGTGGCCTTGAACCGGAAGACCAAACCCCGCCGTAACGCCCGCAAGCACAGCATGAGCTCCCAGAGCCGGAACCAGAAGGTTTCCATGACCTGCGGCCTTGGGCTCAGACGTCGTCGGGTGGTCCACAAGTCGTGACCCACGAGTCGAGCCCGGAGCGCTCCTCGTCGGAATGCCTCGATCACGGCCTGGAGAAAATGGCGGATAAGGGGGTGGATGAGAAGGAATTCCTGGACAACCTCCAGAATGAGAATGAGCCGACCCGGTTTAGTTTCTTCTCTTCCGAGTGCCAGAGCACCATCCATGCGGCCGAGCTGGGCGACTTGGTTCTCCCTGGCGACACCTTCCGGGATCTCTTCCAACTGGGTCCGGATGGCGGTGTCTGGTGGCTTGACGTCCTCAATCCCACAGAAGCCGAAATCGGGGCGCTTTCTCGCGCCTTCTCCATCCACCCTCTGACGGCAGAGGACATTATGACCCAAGAGGCTCGCGAGAAGGTCGAGCTCTTCAAGCAGTACTACTTTGTTTGCTTCCGAACCTTCTATCAGATGGACCGAACGAGCGAGCGCTTCTTGGAGCCGGTCAACCTCTACATGGTGGTCTACCGCGACGGTGTGCTGTCGTTCTCCTTCACCGAGAATCCGCACGCGGCCAATGTCCGGAAGCGAATTGGGAAACTGCGCGACTATGTCTCCCTCAGCAGCGACTGGATCTGTTATGCAATGATGTGAGCTACCACTACCACCACCTTTTCTTTACGATCTGTATATGCTAACATTGTCGTAGTGATGACATTGTCGACAGTTTTGGCCCGATCATCCGGGAGGTAGAGGTGGAATCCGAAGCCATCGAGGACCACGTCTTCATTGCCCGCGTGGATGACTTTGAATCGTTCCTGCCTCGGATTGGAGAATTGCGCAAGAAGGTCATGAGCCTGATGCGCCTCTTGGGCGGCAAGGCGGATGTCATCAAGGGCTTCTCCAAGCGCTGCAATGAGCAATATTCCGTCACGCCGCGCGGCGACATTGGTCTGTATCTTGGTGACATTCAGGATCACGTCGTCACCATGATGTCCAATCTGGGCCACTTTGAAAAGATGCTGAGCCGATCCCACAGCAACTATCTAGCCCAGCTGAATGTGAACAATCTGGTTCTGGGCAACCACGTCAACAAGATCCTGAGCAAGGTGACGCTCATTGCCAGTCTTCTGGTGCCGATGAACCTCATTTGCGGTCTCTGGGGCATGAACGTCCCCGTCCCGGGCAGGGACAGCGAAGGCCTCGGTTGGTTCTTTGGCATCGTCGGGGTCATTGGGTTCATTATCATCTTCAGCACGTTCCTTGCACGCTGGTATAAACTTGTATAGATGCTAATGTCTATAAATTGATCCTTTTTTTTAGCGTGTATCTCGTTATTCTTAGCGCTGTTTGTTATTGTTTTGGTTTCGGTTATTTTTGTTCTTTTTTTCATTTCATGGAATTGCTGTTTCGAGTCGTGGGGTTCTCGCATCCCACTCCTTCAATGCTGACTTGGAGGTCAGCTCTGGTACAGTTGACGATTCTCTGTAGAGCAATGGATCTAGTTATATGAGAGATGTAATCCATCTGGCATGAGAGCCTTGGCGACAATTCGAAACTCTAGTAATGCTTCCTAGGATCACTCTGAAACTGCGTCGTCAGTTAGCTGACGCACTCTGGCCTGTCCGGAGTGGTTTGTGGCGCTGCTGTGGCGCAGTCGATGCTCCTCGGGTTCCTTGAATTATTATTAGCCCGAGACATCGATGAACCATGTGGAGTATAGCGATGTGACCGACAGCGACAACTTCAGCGTCCAATTCGCGAAACTCAACCACTCAAATGGATCCTCCTCCGCGGCTGAGCTGTTTCTTTCGTCCTTGATGTTATCTCCCACCCATAACTGCGTACCGGGCTGGCATTCTTGCTTGAAGGGATGCAATTCCCCAAACTCACCCCCCTGCAGTCGCGTTTCGCTGCCACGTTCGCCGCGACTCTCTTCCTTGTCGCACTTTATTACTTCGTCCTCTCGAACTTGGGTGGGTTCGCGTATGCCCTCGATGTCGACCCGGTGATCCGACAAGATCATGAGTATCCGTTGTTGATAGAAGGAGGGTCGACCCATGAGGCGGACGGTGCGCAGTCGAGCGTGGTCCGGAGGGTGCCCGCCGGCATGATCGCGCTGGGCAACAATCAGTTTAAGCTGAGCAATATCAAGATAGGCGAAACGCAGTGGTGGGTTTTCCCCAAAGAGGCAGTGTTGGGCCCAAAGGCACCCCCGACGCCGGGACTCCCTGCGTACATTCCTGCAAATACTTCTAGTGATGGAGTCACAACGCAAGATTCGAAGAAACGGCGGGGGGAGGAAGATCTGAATGGGGATGAGGATGACGATGAGAATGAGGATGAGAACGGCCTCTCAAAACGGTCAACCACCGTCTACGTCTCGTTGAACACCTGCTTGAAACCGGATCTCAACACCACCGACCCTAAGGCCGCTCAAAACGAACCTCTCCCGCCGCTACAGGTCTATATTTCCACGTCGGAGAAGCTTCAGCAACCCGGCCCTGGGATCGACAGCCCTGATCAGAGAATGTACACTGCCGATGCAGGGTACATGGGGGCCACCGTGGCCGCTGATGGGGATGTCTACATCGCAGTCGCGGCTCCCAATACCACCGCTTACAAGGGGATCTACAACTACCAGCTTGCGGCATCAATTGACGCTTACTTTCACTCCGTCGACGATACGGATCCGTTTTTGTTTTTCATCGATTCCGATATCAACTCGGCGCTCCTCGTCACCAACAACGTTACGCAGTCCTCACCAAACTCAACCAACTACCAGCAATGGATGCATATCACGCCGCCCTTCACCATCTTTGCGCATAACGTCAACGATTCGGCCATCAGTGGATTGGAGAGGTCGTACTGTGCTCTGAGCCAACTGGCCCAACTCCGGAAGGGTAACAACGCCATCTCGGTGGGGATGACGAGCCGAGGGCTGGGGAATAAGCCCAAGGAGCAATTCTATATTACGGGTCTGAACAGGAGCTCGACCTACTATGGAATTCTGGGCATGGAGGGAAACTCAACAGACTCCGGTAACGGCGTTGTCGGTGGCGGAGGGAAGGTCTGGCGGCCGATGAATTTTACGACGAAATCTGGTGCGTACCTTTTTTTTTTCCTTCCCTATGTCTCTCGTCTGGAGATATTCCCTAACAGTTTGGATTATACAGATGAAAATTGCGCACTTCTCTACAACCTCTCATTCTGTTCCGAGGTCGCCTATGCCGTTCCATCGAACCCGTCTCTTGACCTGGCCAAGCTCAGTGAAATCTACGACTCGAATGCCGCCGCCCTGTACAAGAACTTCAGCTACTCCCTCTCTCTGATCCCGTGCAACACCTCCTCGACATCCATGTACTCCCTCGCGGTGGACTGCGACGACTGCGCCTCGGCATACAAGCAGTGGCTCTGCGCCGTGACCATCCCGCGCTGCTACGACTTCTCCAGCGATTTTTCCTACCTCATGCCTCGAAACGCAGGGCAGGCCTTCCTCAATGGCTCGAGCCTCCCTGACGACGACCCCCTGCGCAAGTCACCAATAACCAATGCGTCCCGCAACCCGCTCATCGACAGCGAGATCAAACCGGGCCCGTACAAGGAGATCCTACCCTGTCAGGATCTCTGCTACGACCTCGTCCGCACCTGCCCGAGCGCACTGGGCTTCAGCTGTCCGACGGGCAAATGGCTGAACATGTCGTACGGCTGGCGCGATCCCAACGGCGACATCACATGCAGCTATCTCGGTGCGGCATACTACCTGAATAAGGGCTCAAAACTGGGACGGAATCACCTCCCAGTCAGTTTGCTGTTGACTCTTTTCAGTTTCTGGTCGGTTTGGGAGTTATTCCTGTAGACCTTTTTTTTTCGTTGTCGTTGTCGTCAGCCATTGTCATGTCTTTTTTAGTGCTTTGTGCATCGTGCTTATGTAAAGTGGTTGGATGTGATATGATAGATGAACTAGGATAGGATAGGATAGATACCCTTGAATGTTTTTATTTCAATGTTTTTACTTTCATTTCATTTTCATTCAGCACTGTTGGTGGATGTTTGGTTATGACCTCTTCTCATTCGGCCTGTACTGCATGTATGTTTTGTCTGGAACGTATACACATTTGCTATTCTGTGTATTTCTATAAAAAAGAAACGAAAGGAAGACAATCGTTATATAATACAGTCATGGGTATTAAACAATACATGGAATTGATACAAGAAGGATTTTCGTCATGAGAAGGTGGTTCTGTTCGTTCCTATGATCATTCCCAGCCCCAAGATAGTCTATCATGTCATCTACTTCGTTCTTTTCGGGGATGGAGTCCACATGTTCTTCAGATTAGAAGAAGACGATGCCGATGGCCGAGGCGTGCTTCCTACTTTCTGCAGGAGCTTCTGTGCAGCTGGCGTTAAGGGCTTTCCAGTACGTCCAGGCGTCACGCCACCTGGTGTCCGGCCAAAGTTCGACAACATAGGACTGCTAGGGAAACGGGGGATTGCGTTCGCCTTTTCCGCCCGTTTTGCTCGTGCCACACGCTCGACCATTCGGTGGTGCAGCTCTTCGCGTCTCCGATTTTCTTGGATCCTGAATGGATTTGGCGTCGAGTCTGCTGATACACCCTGGGTGGCTAGTTGCTTTAGATGATCATATACTGATTCGTCCTCCGCCTCGGGCTCGTCTTCGTCGACAAAGGCGTAGCCATTCACCCGTGGCGTCTCACCACCTGTAAAACCCGGTTCCGAATCGGTAGGCCGTGGTCGTCCAGCGATCGCGTCCTTGATGGCAGAAATAGATGGAGATGGGGGAACCGCAGCACCCTGCTCCGACTCCGCGCTTGGCTGCAGCCGTGTGTTGCTATACACCACTTGCTTGGGTCCAGCACGAGAGGCAGCCTCCGCTTTCTGTTGGAGGGTCTCATAACTGTCCTCGATAGAAGAGGGAGTGAACATCAGTGAGTTCTCCGGGCGGGACTTCCATGCGTCCGGTTTTGCGGGCCGCGCATCCAAATCAGACGTCAGTTGTTTGTCTTTGTCGCTGCCCTCCGGATTACCGCCCTGGGCGGCGATCCGCTTTGCTTCGCGCTGCCGATGGGCTATCTGTCGCGCAGAAAGGATCTTATTGCCCTGCCACATCCACGCATACTTCTCTCGCCGCTTCGCGTTCTGCTTGTCGAGCAGTTTGTTGAAAGACTCATTATCCTCACTGGTATACTTGGCTTGAAAGGCACTCAGGCTGAGATTCGACACATCCAGTCCCTTGTCTTTCGTCGAGGTTGTCTGTGCCGATGCGACAGACATAGGTGTATCCCCTCCCCATCCCGTTGTAGGTGTATCGGAGACATTTCCTGTAGCCCGCGGAGTCATACTCACGCCTCTCCTACCCCTTTCTCTGCCGGGGGTCATGACCTCGGCGAGCTTTTTCCCAGCGCTGGCAATCCATGCCTTGTCCTTCGAATCCAGAGCGTCTAGAAATTCCTGTTTCGTCTGCGTCTCGAGAAGACCCGGAAAGAAGTCCCGTGCGATGATATGGGAGAGGGCATCGGTGTAAGTGTCTTCATCCAGGACGGTCGAAGGGCGCTTGATCCGCTTGGGTGGTGGGGGGGGGGGCGATTAAAGCGCTATCGGCCTCACGCTTTACGACGGCCTGAGAGGGTGAGGAGGCCATCGTGCACGTAAATCCCTGGGAGAAGGAAGGAACAAATTATCCAAAGTGAATCGACATGTCAGGAGGAAAAGAACATGGGGAAAGGCGATGATGCTGGCGGATCAGAGGATTGATCAGCGGAGTCTTGGGTATTATTCTCTATCGAAGGTCGAGGTGGCGTTGATTGGAAGGAGCCTTCCCCGGATTGGCCTTACCTGTTTTGGCGATCCTCGCCGACGTCACCCAAGAATGAACAATAAACAACATGAAACAGAACAACGCAATTTAGAGAGCAAAAGGAATTGTGCAAGTAAACAAAAGCGTTTCGAAGACAGGATTCTATCAGCGCAACTATCCTGTTCTAGATGTAGACTATGTCACTTAGTCGTGATTTACCCCAGTGTTGTGTAATAGCAGCCATATCTGCGAGCAGACAATGTGATATATAACTTTACTGATATTTTTTTTTCTCAGAGATACGCTGCACAAAAAGGCACATGTGTCCAATGGAAAAAAGAATATATAACAGAAAAAAAGGGGGAAAGAGAAAAAAAAAGTATTAGACCCCGTCAGTCCCTCCGACCCCATGCAACGATTTCCCTTTCTCCGCTAATGCAGGTGTGGAAAGCCAAGCATGCAGTCGTGTCCCAAAATGCCTTACCGATGTAATCCTTCCACAGGCGCCAGTCTATCTATATGCATGTGTATACAGAAGAGAAAACATACAAAGAAACAGCGAGTGTGGCGAGAACCCGAACGAAAAAACCCAAGCGAATGCTCCCTTCTCTTGAAACCCGAATGCTAAATCCCCCGCCAATGAATGTATGCCAAATGACAGAATGTGCAAAAATGCAAATGCGAAAAAAATGCGAATGAATGTGAGATGCACAAAAACAGCACAACAGACATTGCAGGCATAAAAAAGAGAGCACTAAGGAAAAGTCGTCAAGTCGTAGGCGAGATGTGGCGTCCGCCACGGGTATTCAAAGAAACATAACAGAAAAAGAAAAGGAAGGACGAAATTCAGGATCTCTGATATTGAAGGAGGCGGGCCGGGCTCCAGCACTGTGCAGGAACCACCTTCAACGGCGTTGAGATGATGTCATGGAAGCAGGGAAGAGCGAATACGAAGCTCGACTTTTCCTCCTTTGTGCCAACGGGGCGGATTGCATCCGCACTGCGAATGGAGGCCCCTCTCCTTTCTGGGTGCGGTGCGCCGTCTCATGCTCGACTGCAGACACGGATTTGGTCCTATCATGGACCGGGGATGCTATGGGAGAGGGCACATCAACAGCATTAATGCTACCGCTACTCCGAGTAGCTCTCAGATTGGATGAAGAGCCCAACTCAGGAGCCAGGCTCCTGGTCTGGCGATGGTAAGAAGGCAGCCCTTGGCGTACAGAGTCAGCAGTCGGCCCGAACATGGCATGCTCAACAGATCCGGTGCTCTCTCTGATTGTGTTTTCGCGACTGCTGTTCGCGCTCGGGACAAGTTCCGGTACACTGGCCGTGGACGTCGAGGAGCGATGCTTACGAACGACGGAAGCCGCACGGGATAAGATGATGCTCTCCTGCGAGTTATATTTGCTAATCGGCGAACAACTGCTCCTAGGCGAGACCGGAATATCCACCGACTGAGATCTGCTCTGAGGGTAGAAAGCAAAATGACGGTCCGAGTCCTCCCCAGCCGCAAGGAATTCTTCATACATCGCATCCTGGGCCATATCTTTGTCCATAGCAGCCGACAGAAGATCGGAATCGACCTGCTTGAAGTAATCGCCGTGATCCGAAACCTGGGCCTGGGCAGCAAAGGGGTCAACAGTGGTGACGCCTTCACTTAGCGGGGTAACCGCCTCATGGGACCGAGTCACCACCGATTGAGCTGAACCCGGGTCTAGATCCGGCGTTCCAGGAGCAGAAGCGGAGGTGCGGAGGCGGGACAGCGAACGAGGAGACATCGGTTGGTTCCCATCCGTTTTCTCTGTCTGCGGGGTGGTGGGAGACACATCGGCCACCGCCACTGTCGGTATCTCCATAGAGTTACGATGCCAGTCGAAGTCACAGTTGGCCTCGGCCGCATGCTCATAGCAATAATCGATATCCTCATCCCAAGAATGCGAGAAGGCCTCGAAGCCAGGGGTTCGTTTGCTCTCCGACTGTCTCCTTTTAGCATCTCCAGCCTGCGAGACAGGGGATTCATCAAGGTTCAGATAGAACTGCGGCACAGTGGGAGACATCAAAGCCTCTGAACAGGATGACGCCTGACCCTGAACGGCCGACGCTGACTCACGGGATTCCTTTGCTGGGGGATCGGAAGTCGTTACAGCTGGGGTGGAATCTTCCTTGTTAAGCGACCGCGACGTCGACGGCCGAGAGCCGACTTCCGTGGTTCCGTGCCAGGTGTTAATTTCCTCTTCTTCAGGAACTTCGTCCAAATCACATAGGTAATTGTTGATAACCGCCGCCGGGCTAGTAGCCTTCACATCATCGTCCGCAGTGGTGAAGGCGTGGCCCACTTCGGAGTGAAAGGCATCTGCTAGATCGATCCGCTCCAACGAGGAAGTCTCATCTATACCCTCGTCA